CCCGTTGTTTGTCAAACGTTTCCTCGGCATCGCGCGACTGTCTGGAAGTGATCCGATCCGTTTTGCGCGCGCGCGCTTCAGTGAAGAGAAGGGGGAGGAGTCAGAGACACAGCAGCACCCTGTGAGCACTGAGCAGCACACGAACAGGTGAGACAGGGAGACGAGAGAGAGCTCGATATAGCGCTACAGTACAGAGAAAAAACTACACGGTGGAAAGTGGAAAGGTGAGAAAATGGATAGGAAACGCAGTGAAATTTGGACTGATTTCAACTTAATTGATAGTTCAAAGGCAGCGTGTAGACTGTGCAAGGTTAAAATGTCCAATATCAAATATTAATTTATCATTTGTTGTTTGGTAATCAAAGCTTACTTATGTTGTTTTAATGTAAATATTTAAACACTTATAAATATGCACAATCAGAGAATGGAGCTTTTTGTTGACCTTGTTTTGAGATGGGTCTTTGTTTTTGTATTTTGTAATTTATTTTTTTGTAGCACTCCATGTTGTACGCCATGTTGAGTATGTTCAGAAGAATATAAAGCCATATAAATCATAAATATTTGATATACTGTATAGTTTTTACATTCGTAATTCATTTTACACATAATTTTACATTATTTTTGGGAGTAAACTAATTTAAGCAACAAAAAACTGAGGAGCCATTTGGGAGCCGAAAGAGCCGGCTCTTTTTAGTGAGCCGAGCCAAAAGAACCGGCTCTCTAAAAAGAGCCGGAATTCCCATCACTACACTGTTATGGGAACGACTGCTAGACGAATAAATATTTAAATAAAGCGGCCGACTGCTTGGCGCGTCACCGTTGCATTATGGGAAATGTAGTTTTGGTGCGTGTAAAAGATCTGCGGGCTCTCGGCTTGCTGCGGTCCGCGGGCCGGTTCTAATAATAAATCAATATCATCCCAGGGGCCACTGAAAACATTCTCGCGGGCCGGATTTGGCCCGCGGGCCGGCACTTTGACATATGTGAACTAAGGAATCCCACATTTCACACCAATTAAATGCACTTGTGAGCAAATTGAGATTCATTTAAATATGCAATGTATCATTTTTGTCTGGTGGTGTCCTGTGAGTTTTTAAAAAAATATAAAATATGTGCTTTCGTTCAACTAAGTGATGCTTAGTTGAGGGTATACAGGTTGCAGTAAAAACTGTCATTTGAATCAATACACTCATGAACCGCTAGGGCGTGCTCATGGACCATATTTTGGGGAAAAATGAAGCGGGCACAAAAAATAACCAAGCCCTCACCAACGAGGCCAGTACTATATCCTTGTTGCTGGAGCCTCTTGGCAAAAGTAGTCTCCTCGGGTAGCAGCCCGCCTGAACCCGCCAGGAATAAGTTAACCCGTGCTCGACCTTCCGCTGCCATCCCTGAAACGAGGTGAATGTAAACAAACTAAGAGGACAAGTAAATTTGAAAAATCTTCATTAGGAGACCTGAGCGGACAGCGTAGCGTCCCGTCATGAAAGCTGCCCGGCTCGGGGTGCACAGTGGAGCGGCTGCGATGTGCTGAGTCAGCTTCACTCCCTCTGAGGCCAGCCTGTCTATGTTGGGGGTCCTGTAAATGGAACATATGGGACGACAACAGGAAGCTACTACCATGTATTTGTCCATAGGTGCGGGACTATAATGTCAATTTGGACTGACCTGATGGTGTTGTTACCATAGCAACCCAAGTCACCAATTCCCAAGTCGTCTGCCATCATCAGTACAATGTTGGGCTTCCTGACGCTCTCCTCCCCGACGACATTGCTCGCTAGCACCAGGAACAGGATGAGAGGTGCTAGCTGGGAAGGCCTTAAAGAAATTGCAGAGGGAAAAATGTTTTAGAGTCAGAAAGCAATACAGCAACTCTCTCACACTCTTTTCTTATGTAGAGCTTGCCGACCTCAGCAAAATATTTGCAGCTTGGAATCATATACCTCGGATCAAAGGTTTACAACTTGTTAATAAAACACTACATTGTACCGTATAAATGGGCATTATGATTTTGAGTAGCGTGATGGCTCTATGTTAGAGGTTAACCTCTTAAAAAAAGCTGACTATTTGTGTCAATACCCCACTAGTAATGGGACATTGTGATTTCCTAGGCATGTTGAATAAGAGATCAAGAGAACTAAATGTCGATCCATCCCCTCCCTGGCCAATCAAAGGATGAGAATTCTCAATATGTCCTCCGTGGTCTGACGTGAAATATATCAGCGTGTCGTTGGCCAGGCCCAACGAATCCACAGTGTTAGTTAGCTCGCCTGCAAAAACACAACATTAGTCACGATTTATCATTACTTATGATGTACAGGGAAACCGCTATGTGTGTTCTGGGATTCTCCAATTTGTTCTGATTTCACAACAGTTTTCCCCAATAGGAAATGAGGGAAATTTAATACATATTTAAAACATATTGTTATGCATATTTTCCTCCATAGGTTTTACTCAAATTCCAGATTTTGCAGCCTTGTAAGCATTCTAATTCAGCGCTTACCGACAATCCAGTCCATCTCTTCCACATTGTCACCGTAGCAACCGTGGCGGCTTTTGCCCGCAAAAGCCGGCGTGTGAAAATGTGGCATGTGGACGTGAGCAAAGGAGAAAACCAGAAGGAACGGATGATGAGCATTCCTGAAGGGAAGAAAAGCAGATAAAATGTCATTGGACATACCACAGCAAAAAAAAATGTTTGTCATTGACGCCCCTTTGTTAAAAGAACTTTTAGCAAGGGGAAAACAGCACATGCAGTACTTCTCGGCTTCTGTCTTGGCAGATACTTCAAATCAAAGAATCAGACTCGGACAAAAAAAAATGTGATCGGGACATCTCCACTCTCTTATCTTATTGATCCTATCTTATGTACCTAAAATGTGAAAGTCCAAATGTCATTGGACATACCACAGCAAAAAAAAATGTTTGTCATTGACGCCCCTTTGTTAAAAGAACTTTTAGCAAGGGGAAAACAGCACATGCAGTACTTCTCGGCTTCTGTCTTGGCAGATACTTCAAATCAAAGAATCAGACTCGGACAAAAAAAAATGTGATCGGGACATCTCCACTCTCTTATCTTATTGATCCTATCTTATGTACCTAAAATGTGAAAGTCCCCCCCCCCCCCCAAAAAAAAAAAAAAAAAAAAGCACTCCACAGCTAACATGCCAC